TTCTCCTTCTGCTCGTGTCCTTGGAATATAAAATGGCAAGGCATAATGTCAGGATATGAATCATAACCTTACCATCCTTGCGCTTGTTCTGTTCCTTGCGATTCTCCTTCTGCTCGTGTCCTTGGAATATAAGATGGCAAGGCATAATGTCAGTGAATGCACCTGCATGATGGCAACTTACTGCTGGTGCCGTCTAGTCCCCCTTTTCCTGCTTCCCGCTACTTGTCTGCGAATGAATGGTGCACCATTATGGAGGATGAAAGACAGATTCTTGTTATGAAGATGCTAAATCATAAAGATGCTAAATCATACCTTAAAGATGCTAAAGATGCTAAATCATACCTTACACTGTCGTCATTGAAGGATCAGCGTGAGTATAAGAATACATACGCGCTGAACAATAAGTTCAACATAAGCTTACCAGTGTAATGCGCGCAATGAATGACGGCCCTGAGGACACGGCCAGCACTGGGCCTTACGTCCAACTAACCCACCTTAACGCAAGCTCGCATTACTTGTTGCGTCAGAGACAAATGCCAAAGGAGAAGATACCCCCTCTTGCGGTTGAAATACTCAACCACCAAACGGCGCATCGCGCCGACCCGCAAGAGGGCCAAAGAACGCGAGAGCTGCCAGACAGGCGCGCACACCGAAACTCCCGAAGCCAAACACCTCGAAAGACTTCCAAACGACACCCCAGCAGCAGGGGCGGCTGTCGCGCCACCTCTACGCAGACAAAAGAGTGAACAAACCAAACGCAAAGCGCCAACAGACTGACCCACCGCCACCGACGCGACCGAGTACCAATCTCAATGTATTTGGAACCAAGCGCAAGCGTGCTAGGCTTATTAGGGAGCACGGTGTACGCAGAAGTGCCACCACTGCAAACCACGACTGGCAAATGCCGCGCCGCCCCCAAAGGCAGCACGACCAACCTACCACTGCAGAGCCTACCGTTGCAGAAGAAGACATTTATCCAGACGATGCGTCTACGGACCTAAGCTGGATACCTGGTGATCACTCACATGTGGGCAGGCTGACATTCAGGGGACAGCTGCGGCTGATCATGGGGCATGTGTTTCAGACTAATATGAGGACAGCGAGGAGCTGAAAGCAAGGGGCCACCTGTTACAGTCTCGTGTTCGACCGGTAGTATATTTGTCAGTGGGTAGCGGAAGTGCGTCCCACCTTAGCGGAATATACTCATATTTGGCTTCCCCACCGCGCCCAAAGGCGGGAGGTGGGCGTCGGTTCATAGCTGGAGTTGCGTTGGGAATTGTGTGCGTTTGGTGTGTGTTAGGCCGCGTTAAGCCTTACACAAGTAGCCTTCATACGCATGAAACGCAACATGCATTCGCATGCGAATAGCCTTGCGGACTGTGTGCCGTTCGATGTGCGATTGGACGCGTATTGCTTTACGCATTGTCTCCCCACACGCACGAATCGCAATATGGAATCGCATGCGTATCGCCTTGCTACACACGCGCGTATGCTTCGCGTTTCAACATACGCACGGATGAATTGTTCAAGTCGACCAAAACGACGCAAGTTTATTTCCAAATGAATCTTTACAATCTGAAAATGATAAAATTTTTGGGCGGGGCCCCAGCGCGAAGCGCCCAAGGGGGCCCCGACCTGTAGGATTGCCCATGTCCGTGTGTGTGTGTGCGTATGTGCGTGTGTGCGTGTGTGCGTGTGTGTGTAACGGACCAAACATAATATCTCGCCCGGCTGAAACGCGTTATAGGTACTATATAGCATTCTCTATTGCAAGGTATCTCGCATGTAGCTAACAAAGATCGTATGAGCACAAACAACTTTGGCTGCCTCCATTGACCGAGCTCATAGTCACATCAGCGCCTCTCGGGCCAAATTTCACCTCAAAAAGGTGCCGTGTATCTCATCATTGACTTCCGAGATCACAGCGTATGATAACTTGAACACCCAGCTTGTGTTACCATTGGCCCGCACGGGCATTCCGACTTGCCACCAGCAGGCCGACAATTTTGCTTACATTTCTCTATGGAATACGCAAGCTGCTCATTTGTACATTTACTTTAGCCAATGCTCGGGGCCTCCGAAGACTTGCGGTGTGCCCCGATGAAGCCCGCGGCTGTGGGGCGGATTGCTAAGGCCGCTGGCGCTTCGGGGATAGACATCACAGACAGCACCGAAATTCACCCAGCTTTCGTTACCATTTGCCCGCACGGGCATTCCGACTTGCGGTCTGCCGCACTGTCCATGCGGAATGCACCCGGGATGGATGCGATTCGCGTGGAGCCCGCAGGCGGTGCTGACGATTCCGCCGGTGCAAGCTTAGCTCTCACACCATCAGCACTGCTGCAACAAAGCACATCTCCCCACCGCGTTGACACTACCCATCAATTGTCACACGTGCCGCGCTAGCTACCGGCCTGTACGGATGCAGGGGGGCCCCGCCCTTTTCCCGGTTTCGAGGACTAGTTAAAATTTTAGCCAGAAGGGCCGATTTACGCTTTTCCATAGCCGTTAGCTCTTTGCGTTACAAAAGGATGCTCATTCGCACCTAACGCTAAGATCCGCACCGTTACCCCGCGAACTAACGCGGACTTAACGCGATCACCCGTCGTCATCCTTAAGGATAGCTGTTCCCTTCTCGTACTCCTTCCCCCATCGAGCAAACGACCATGGGAACTTTTTATTTCGTCCGTCTTTGTCCGAGTTGGAGATTTCCTATTTTCTTAGCATGTTAGACTTATCGCGTACCCGGGCATCTACCTTGCTTTGTTAAGGAGGGTGCGGCATTATGTCTGGAGAGCTTCACGTTCATAGCCAGACTTGATCTGGCGAATTCCCATCATCCCGCTGGCTAGCAACTTGCACCAATATTGGTACATTACTGTAAAAGTACTTGCAGAAATGCCATGGGAAACCGAATCTACAACTCCGCTCGGGGTTCGTGAACTACACGGCCATGGCCATTATACCTATACCATGCATAGGTTAGGCACTACTGGTAACGCGCGACCATTGCCCCCGGGAGATCCCAGGATCGAGACCATGGACGGATCCATGGCGGAAGCAATTGCGCCCCTGATTGATTCATGGTGATGATCTGAGATAAAGTTGACCTGCGAGCTAACCAGGAATGGAGTTATGCCGATGTCAACTTGGCAATTTCCATTGGATGCTGGTGGTGGGTGCGGAACCTGAGCGATCCACTGAGAAGTTGGCTAGGGTGACTGGATGAGGGTGCCACGAAATACCGGGGAAGGCAGGGTTTCGCCGGGTAGCTGCCAATGGGTGAAGATATACCCCCCTGTTTCACACATCATACACCAGCTCATTTATGTCACAGATAACTTAATTGAGCTTGCCATGCAGCATTGCATTGACGAAGCAGTGCAATGTTATATAAATGTTTGCATCCTCGGTGGATGTGTATGCATCCTTTGATTCGTCACCATGCACATACCTAAATACACGTGCACGTATCTTTGCTGGTGTTGCCCAGCCATGATGTGCATCTTTCTACTTTATATCTCGTATGGAGTAAATATGAATGGGTTGTTGTGGTTAGCCATACACGTCAAAATAAAGGTTAGGAAGTATCGATCAGCTTTAGAAGTAAGCAATAATGGGTATGGGAAGCAAATACAAACAAAGGGCAAGCGAATCTGGAAGATGCATAAGATGAAGGTGTAGCATTTACATGCTCACCTGCCCTCCTCCATTTGTGTGCTTGGCTGACAGGGCTACAACTACACCTTCGTGCCGGCCGTCAGTTCCCAGGGGGCGCCCATCGACTGCTCCATCAACACAGGGCTCGCCAATACAGCTCCTGTGAGGAGTTGTGCTGCTTCTCTAAGTGACATACTAAAAGCATGCGTGTGCAAACACGCTTGCCTGCATTTCCAGATGTGCTGCCATGCATGTGCCGTGGTGCGTGTGCATGATGCATGTAAGCACTGCAATAGCTGGCCGCTGAAAAGGCCTCTCGAGATGCTGGTTGAGTGATTCGCGTGTATTTGTAGTTGAGATGTCTGCTGTACTGTGTACCATCTACTACAAGCACGCACACCTGCCTATCGATCCTGTAATCACATGCTTGGCTGGCACATTGCTTAAACGTCATCGCGTGATCCGTACTCACTACTAACTTATTGTGGGGAAGGCCATTGCGTCTGCGACCACACTCCCGCGGTACCCAAACCCTTCAAAGACAATTCCGATCAGCCATTTGGCTGTTAGTGGGAGGGCGGGTGGGCCGCTCGCACGGCAATCGAGTAGAGAGTACGAAAATAACCTAATGCAGTCATCGACAGCAGAAAACGTAAGCCTCCAGCCTCATGCCGACTCTCTTACCTACCATTCATATTCTCTACCTCGTTCCCAAGACTCCGCCGCGTTGCCTCTAGTTCGGCTCGTGCCACAGGTAACTTCGCTCGTCGCTACTTTGCCATTCACCTTCGCCTCCACCCAGCCTCTGCTTCTCCACAGAAGCGGCGACCTCCTTCGCCGTTGTTACGCCTCGTCTATGCGAATCCTCCTCATCCGACTGTGTCTTCTGCCTACCCGGTGCGCGCCCCCTCTCTCTGCGCATCCTTTTCTCTGGCCCTCTCTTACGGTTGCCTACCTTACTGCAGGACTCGCCCCTTGCCTGTCCGGTGCCGGGCAGGCTTTCCTTGCCTTCCCCGGCCCTACTTGGGGCGCCCCTCCTCGGCTCGTCAACTACCTTACTTCCGTCCGTTCCTGCCCCTCGGGGGCCCAACCCCTCCGNCC